TGTATCCCCTTTCAGCCTGTCAGTTAAGTATTGGCAGTAATTCCGAAGCAACAATAAGAGGATACTACGCCATTGGAAGTCATTCACAGTGAGCTGTTTTGTAATTGGGAGAGAAAGAAAAGCTGAGCTATTTTTCAAAGGGGTCACAGCACTTAGATGAAGACTTTGATTATATTGCTTCTTTAAAAAAGGTGTATGTAAAACATAAGAAGCTTGAAAAAAACATTTAAATGCCAACATTTAAATATACCTGTAGGTATGTAAGAATGTAGCAAGACTTTGTCATTTAACTATTGACTTAATTCCTTGCACAGAACTTGTACAATATTGGGCTCAACCCATTTTATTTAATTTCTATCGGAAGGTAAAATTGTCACAAATATTTATTTATCTGTGGTACTAAGATAGCAAACAAAATTCAGAATTTCAGTTTAACAATGTGTTTGTGCTATTCAGCTTTGGCCAAATAAAATTTAGAAGTGCCCAGCAATAAGGTTCTGTAAGAAGTATTTAATTAGATCTGTAAGGCTAAACTGAGTAAACTTAAACCCCATTCTTTATCAGCTGGTTTTCTTGCCTTCACAGGAGTTAATCAACACAATGCTTATTTTGTTGGAATTCAAATCCAATAGTAAACTACACAGTAGGAAAACAAATTGCTCTGATCTATAATCTTGTTGAAACTTTCTAGTTCTGTTATTGCAGTTTAAGTAACTTATATCTACATTGCCTTGGTTGCTTTCTCCATGCCATTTTTCTTTTAACAATTTTACTTTCTTGCTTTCTTTCATGAAGGTATTGATTACTTGGTGGGGACAGTTCCATAGGTGGTGTTTTTCTGCTGATACTTAAGTCCAAATTGTTGTTGTTTATTAGCCTTGTCAAGATATTTGCCATGTGGATTAAGTCGGACCAAGTCCAAACTAGTTTCTCTTTCAGTCTTATATTTGGCACATAAAGGGGATTTGTTATCCTGTGTTTGGAAGACTGCAGAATTTCAGTCGATTTTAGACCAGTTCACAATTAAATGACTGTGCAATCAATATACCACCACTCGTGTATCTGTTCTCAACTAATGGGTTCAAAGTGCATTCTTTAGATATTATTCATGTATTTCATACTCAGATGTATGCATCTCAGTGATTATAATAATCTTAAATCAGGTTTGAGAATATGTTGGAGATTCCTGCAATTTTTGTCTGTGGTTAGGAATGAGAGATGATGTTTGTAGTTATTAAGCTTTCAGGATTCTCTAACACATTTTATTTCAGTAGAACCCATTTAAAATATACAGCATCTGCAAAAGAGAAAGAAAAAATGTCAAGTCTCAAGCAGTTATTCTTGTGGAAATCATTTGATTAATGAAAGCCTTTTTTATGATGCTTTCAGAAAACTAACATTAATAAGAACCTGTGCAAGTTGTGGAACTCAGAAGAAAATCAAAATGTTCGAGTTCAAGGCAGGTTTCTTATGCCAAGTGTTGAGCGTTGCTTATAATTTGGGAGTTAAACCACAATCACAACAAGGGGCTACACCTGAACGAGAAAAGTGATAGTGGATGTTAGAGGAAATATTACAGGCCAATAAAATAAAATGCTGACGCCACATTGTATGGCTGTGGCTAGGAGCTCATCTTTTGTGGTCGAGCCCCCTCCATCTGACCCCCCTCTTTTGTGGAATAATGAGTAAAATGTTATGTGTGATAATGTTACAAAATGTTTGTGAGTTGCAGCTGGTGAAAGAAGAGCTGAGAGGTAATGCCCCTGGTCAGTGGAGGAAAATGAGCAAAGGATGAGTCATCTATTAGAATAAAAACAAAGAACTGCAAATGCTTGAAATCTGAAACACAAACAGAAAGTACTGGAGAAGCTTAGCAGATCTTGCAGCATTTTAAAGAGTGAATAAAAATTAATGTTTCAAGTCCAGTGACCTTGCATCAGAACTGACATCTATTAGAACTGTCCCAGCCTGCAAAACAAAATGAATTTCAAGGAAAGGAGGACAAGTTGTGTAGATGTATGATTGATGCAGTCCATTTGGTAGGGGCATGCACAAGACTGTTAAGAAGGGAGTACAGATGAGGAGAATTATGTGCAACGTTGTAGATTGGAAGCGGAGCTCGAAGTGGTATTTTTAATTTTCATTTACAGAGCATATCTGAGAGGTAGATGAATTGCCTATCAAATCTCCTGAACATGTTCCAGTATTGACTTAGTTCATGTCAAAATCACATGACACCAGGTTACAGTCCAACAGGTTTATTTGAAAACACTACCTTTCATTGCTCTGCTCCTTCCTCAGGTGTAGTGTGGAAGAGGAGGTATACCAACTCAGAATTTATAAGCAGAAAAGTAACAACCCTAAAAATGGCATGCTAACCACCTCCTGTTGAATCTTTTATCAGTTAGAAAGGAGACACAAGTTTCTATTGATTAAAATGCGAATCCCAGAATTTTTTTTAAGTCATTGCCTCGAAATAATTAAAGGTTTTATCAGTGTATGCAAGACATGACATCTCAGGTCAGACAATGTATTTTGGCTATGAGGCTTTGTTTAGAATCTTTCTAAGAAAGGTCCTGACCGAAACATCAACTTTCCTGCTTCTCTGATGCTACCTGGCCTACTGTTTTTCTCCAGCTTCACACTGTGTTATCTCTGACTCCAGCATCAGCAGTTCTTACAATCTCTGACATTTTTTTTTAACTTATGTTGTAAATAAATTTTAAAAATATGAGCATCATGTGCAAGGCCAAAATTTTTTGTCTATTAACGGCAATGTCTTGAACTGCTGCATTGCATTTGGTAGGGGCAAACACAACACTGTTGAGAAGGGAGTTCTAGGTGTTCGACCCAACAATAATGAAGGAACAGTAAGTTCCAACTCGGGAATAATGTATGGCTTGAAGGGCTATTTGCAGTGGTTGTGGACCTTGTGCTTGCTGCTTTATCATTTTAGGTGGGAGTGATCTATGGTTTGGAAGGTGTGGTTGAAGAATTTGATGCACTGTATCTTGTGGGTGGTACATACCACTTCCAAAGTGTCAAGATGAATGCTTAAGGTGGTAGATAGGATGCCGATCAAGTTGGCTACTTTTGTCCTCGCTTTATGTTGAGTTTCTTCAGCACGGTTGGAGCCGCACTCGTCCAGATAAGTGGAGAGTATTCCACCAGACTGTTGATCTATGTCTTGGTAATAGTAGACAGACTTTAGGAAGTAAGATGAACTACTTAATGTAGAATTCCCAGCCTTTGATCTGCTCTTGTAGACACACTCTAACGTTGGCTCAGTTCAGTTTCTGATCAGTTGTGACCCTGGGATGTTTTAGTGGGGGAATTCAGTAATGGTAATGTCAGAGAACATTGGGGACAGGGTTAGAATTCTTCTTGTTGGCGATGGTCATTGGCTGGAACTTGTGTGGTGTGAATGTCACTTGGCACTTATTCAGCCAAGACAGAATGTTGTCCAGGTCTTGCTGCACATAGGCATGGATGACTTCATTATTTAAGGAGTTGCAAATGGTATTGAAATCATCAGTAAATGTTGTCACTTGTAGACATTTTCCAAGTAAACTATTCAGAAAGATATTATTACACACCTCTAGAGCAAGTAGCACTTGATCCCAGGCCTCCTGGATCAGCAGTCGGCACTCCCACTGTACCACAATAACTCAGTGTTATCACTTATAAGCTTATGATGGAGAGAAAATCATTGATGAAGCAGCCGAATGTGGTTAGACCTAAGACAATTAATCTACTGCTGTAGGGGCTCTTGTCGCACAGTGGTAGTGTCCTTACCTCTGAGCCAAGAGGCCTTGGTTCAAGCCCCAGCTGCACTGGGGAGTGCAATAACATCTGAACAGGTTGATTTAAAATATTTTAATGTCTTGTTGCTGACAAACCTGCATATATAGGGCTTTCTGTTCCTTTATCTACGTAATATATGAAGAAGGTGAAAAACTTGGACATTCCATTCATCATCCTTTACCAATTTGAGTACATATCCTTGTCCCCACTTATTGCTTTCTGCCTCTGAACCAATTCCCTACCATATCAATAAGCTGCCTCCAATTCCATCTGTGCTCATTTTTGTTATTTTTGCCTTATCAAATGCCTTCTGGAAGTTCATATAATAAATTACTTTTAGACACTTCCTTATTCATCAGTTTAGCAATTACCTCAAAAAATTCAAGTGGTTTCATTAAATGTGATTGCCGTTTACAAATCCACATTGAATCTCTTTGATAAGATTACAGTTGACCAAGCACTCAGTCACACTGTTGTGATTAAACAATCCTAGTAACTTCCTTGCAACAGATGTTAGAATAACAGGCTTACACCTTTCCTCCTATTCTCCTTAAATATTGAAATGATATTAGCAAATTTCCAATTGAACAGGATAACTTCTCAACCAAGAGAGCTTTTCAAGCTGTTGACGAGGGCATCTAAAAGTACCTTCCCAAATCCTTTTAGTACTCTGTGCTGGAAACCTTTAGATCCTGGACATTTATTTATCTGTAGTCTCAGTATTTTGTCCATTTCGATTTTTATGATTATATTAAAACTTATGTTCCTCCCTGTGATTTAATTTTATTGTTACCTATATCTCTGGTGCTTTAGTTTCTTCCCTTCTTGTGAAGACCAAATTAGAGTAAGTACTTAGTAAGTGAACAAAGTATGTCCATCATCCACCTGAATGGTATACAACTGTGTTGTTCATATATATCTGCTGAATGAGATGACTAACTTGTGATAAAATAATGATTGCAGTATTTGGCAATATTGTTTGATTATGTCTTTTGCCACATGTTGTCACCAAGTGGATGAGAGATGACCCGTCATCAGTGTTAGTTAATACTTTTTGAACAACCATTAATGATTTTGCATGTTTATAATTTCTGACTGAAAGTTTCTGACATTGTGCAGAACTTCTGTTTCCAGAAGTGGAAAGTAGAGCTGCTTATTTTCAACTTTGTTTTTTCCTTTTTGTCTGTTTTTTGAAGCTGTTGTTCGCGCATGTGCTGATGGTGGAGCGAACCGCCTCTATGAGCATACTGAAGGAAGGCAAGAAAGGTACAGTCTAATAATTCTTCTGTTATCTCTTTTTAATCGTCTTCCTTGGAACAGTGTTTAATGGCAAGTTGTCCAATATTTCTGAAGGCAAGAACCATTTCTGTGTAAAAGTCTGTCTGTCTTCATTACGACAGCATAAGAAATAGGAACAGGAACAGGATTATTACATGTAAAGAAACAGCAGTTTAAAGAATTCAGTATGGGCAAAGGGTTTTCTCTTCAATAATTTTCTGCACATATCAGAAACTCAATGATGACATCGACTTTATCAGAGGTAAAGACATCAGAAACCTGATGAATGTTCATATCTCCACAGTGTGAAAAAAAATTTGAGCATTCAAGCTAGAAGCGATTTAACAATTGTGTCTGTAATTCTGTTTCTTGATTAACAGTTCAACTTTTTTCCTTCAGTGCAGAATTGTTTTCTCTTCAGCTGTGAATGTTTTGGGTATGTGCCAACAGTTGGTGGGATTGAGAGTGGTGTCAGGATGGTGCGACAGTCTGGAAGATATTTTTGCTACGTAGGGAACTAAGCACCAAATAAAAGGTGTAAAATAATGTCAGACAAAAAGGCATGTGTGCTAGTAACTTTTGATGAGGAGAATTTTTAATTTGCAGAGCTTAGACTTAGGTAAAATGGCAGTCATGCCAGTTCTAAAGCAAAAACAGTAATTGGTGGTGAAATTCAGCAGGTCTGGCAGCGTTTGTGGGGAGAAAGTAAACTTATCTTCATCAGAACTGTTAACTCTGCTTCCTTCTCACAGATGCTGTCAGGCCTGCTGAGTTTCACCAGCGATTTCTGTTTTTGCTTCAGATTGCTACCATTCGCAGTTCTTCGTTTTATTATAATCTTGCCAGTTCCCTCCTCTGAGTGAGAACATGCTGCAAGTACAGAGTGGGTCATTCGCCATCTTTAAGATTACTTTGTTTTTTTAAGCTATTTTAGATGTGCTAAGTATTGACTGATCAGTGTATTTCCAGCATTTTCTGTTTTTATTTCAGATTTGTTTGCTACACTTGCCATTACATTGAGCCAAAAATCAGGAAGAAACATGTAATATTAAAATATATTTTGTCTTCCCTTATTGCTGTAGAACAACTAAAGAATAGAATATTCTTTAGAATAGAAATGAAAGTTGCAAACCATTCTACGATAATGAGTATTTCCTAAAACTATTGGCTAATCTCTGGAAGTATGGAAACCTACTAATTCTAACTGGCAGTTATTCTAACAAACAATGTTTGCTCCACTCCTTGTTGCTGCCATTCCTTTGACATTGGCCTCTTCTGCAGACTTGGTAAGGCTCTTATCAATCAGCATTTAATTCCCATGGTTTGATATATTCATATTTGATAACAAAGATCACCACAATTTGTCACAGATTTATATTTGCTTTATCTTATTTAATAACTTTAAGCACTCCCCTATGAAATTTGACCTGGCTTCAATATTGATCTTACAGTTTGTAAAATTTGCTTGCGTGTAGCCATTGTAATCTTCCTTGTTGTTAATCCACTTTATGACATACAGAAAGGTTGTATTTTTGTATTGTGGCACTTATCTGTCTTGACTCCTTGACTGTTGCTAGGTTGGAAGGTTGCTTGTCTGATATTCAATACTCGAAAAGCAGAAATTAGTTCCATTTAAATAGTGGGAAGACTAAAGTCACTGCCTTTAATCTCTGCCAAAAACTCTATTCCCCAGTCACACTCTCACTGACAATTGTCAGAAGTTGAGCCAGACAGTTCGCATTCTGGGTGTGATATTTCACTTGAGATGAGCTACTGATCACACATTTTGTGCCATCATTAAGACCATCTACTTCCACCTCCTCAATATTGCACCTACTTTAGCTCATCTGCTATTGAAACACTCACTTATGCCTTTGTTATCCCGAGGCTTGATTATTCCAAAGGATTCTTGGCAAATCTTTGACATTCCACCCTACCTAAACTTGAAGTCATCCAAAACTCTGCTGCCAGTGCCGTAACTTGCATTCAGGCCTGTTTGTCATCAACTACCGTGCTCAGTGACATATATTGACTCTGGGTCAAGCAACACTTATCTTTTAAAATTCTTATCGTTGTTTACAAATCCCCTTTATGTCTTGCCCTTGTCTATCGTATTTCCTCCAGGCATCATTCTCTGAGATGTCTGCAGTTCTCGCATTCTGTCATCTAGAATATACCTGATTTTTATCAGTGGCACGACCTTCAGTTGACTGGGCCTGCAGTTCTAGAATTCCCTCTGTAGATCGCTTGTCTGTTGACTGTCTTTCCTCCTTCAAAGCTGTGTTTAATTCCTGCTTCTTTAACAAAGCATTTGGCTATGTACCCAAATATCTTTGTGACTCAATGTTGCTTTATAGTGTTCCTGTGAAGTGCCTTGAGACACTTTATTGCATTAAATAATTGATCATGCTGCCAGGTTGTCTGGACTATGTTAATAGTGATGGAGAATGGGGGAAGACAGGAAGAGGCTTTGGCTGTGTGGATGTGTTTCAGTCAGCTTTTTGAGTCAGAACTACTGAGCTGCAGAGCAGGAAACATCTCTTCCAAGCAGAGTTCAGTTATAATTTTATGTGCTATCTAAAAGAGTTCAAAATTCTTTGTCCTGAAGAAGAGCTATACTCGAAATGTTGGCTGGTCCTTTCCTCCAGGTGCTGCCTGGCTTGCTGTGTTCTTCCAGCCTCCTGTTTGTCTACCTTGGATTCCAGCATCTGCAGTTTTTTTTTTGTCTCTAATCAAAATTCTCTGTAACTGAAGGAATCCACTAACAGCGAGTCAGATCTCTGGGATATTTAAGCTGAAAGAAGGTTTTAGATGGAAAACTCCAGAGTTCAAGAATATTAGAAACAGTGAGCCTTGACATGAGGTGGCTATGCATCAAAGGTTAGCAATGCATGTGTTAAACTAAGAGTCTACATCCATAGGATGGTTGGAGGAAATTTGAAGGGAAAACTTTGCTAGAAGTGAGCAGAAGGCACAAGAAATTCCAGCTGTTAGACAAAATGCAGAAGCAGCAGTCAGACCAGGTGATTTGTCTTTTAATTTTTGATGTACATCTGAATTGAGTTTTGGGTTTGGAAGAGTGTAGAAGGAAATTTGGATTACATTTGGTTGAGGGAATAAACACCTGTGTTCATTGTATTTTTAATATCTTTATTATAACAAACTCGTTATATAGTTATCAGTGTTCATGTTATTTAGCCTTTTCTCAGTAAAATTCATTTAAAGCATAAATCTTGTGGTGTCGTTGTTTTCATGCAGTCCTGAGATTTTGGGTTTTCCAAAACATCAAAGACACATTACTGGTTTCTACTGACGACTTGACCTATTTTGTAATGACCTTTGAAACCTGCACTTTATGGTGATTACATTTCACTTGGATGGATTGTGGGCAAGTTGGGTCTTTCTCGTTCTTTGCGTTTTACTTTTTGAAATGTCTGTAAATAATTACATGAATGGTGAATTACCCCAAACAGTATCCCACATAGCAGAACTTTTTAAGAATTGTGAGAGCAGTTCTTCACAGAATGCTAATAGAAAGCACCAATTGGTTTTCTAGGATAATGAAATGTTCAGTTAGTTGGACAAGGTCAAATCCACATGGAGATCAGACCACATGCGTTTCAGACCTGAATCATATTTCTAAATATTGAAAGGGATATTAATGTTTCTGTTGCTAATTTTCACTGTAGATAATCAGACAGAGGAAGTTTATGACTGTTGATGGAATCCAAAGTCTTAATTTCTGTTTTCCTGATAGATGTCACTTTATTTGCTGATTTTTTTGTTCTTCACAGATGCTGAGCTTTTCTAGCAACTTCTGTTTTTGTATCACTTTGTTCGTGCTTTACTTATAGTACAGATTGAAAAATTATATTTTAGAAAACACAATATATCATAGGTAAAGCAGGCAAGGAAAGCAGAGGAACAACTCAGAACTGGGTAGGGAATGCACAAGGAACAGCAATCCAGCAGGCTGGCTGTGAAGAGGAGCTGTATACAGCAGGATGGGGAGTGAAGAGGATCAGTATAAATTCCACATGCCACAGCTTGATCCTGAGCAATGAGAAAGCAGTTTCATTTATACACATACTGTTCAGATATCTAATAGTGGTCCCAAGGCAACTTTGTCTTTTGTGTGCCAGCTCTATCCTTGTACAATTGCATTTAGTCTCTTACCCAGCCAGCCACAGATGTTCACATTTCATGAGTGAATAAATTAAAATCACTCTTAGTTTTGCATTCCCAGTCTCACATCAGCAATTGCATGGCTGGCTTCGTTCACTACAAATTCCAAGGTTGCCTCCTTCATTTTCTTTAATTCACTTATGGCATGTGCTTGTCACTAGCTGGCCAGCATTTATTGCCAGTGGCTAGTTGCCTTGGGAAGTTGGTGATAAGCTGCCTTCTTGAACTGCTGCAGTCCATGTTCTTTGGTATAATGCCCTTGTGGAGGGAATTCCAAGATTTTGTCTCAAAGACACTGAAGGCATGGTGATATATTTCCAGGTCAAGATAGTGAGTGGCTTGAAGGGGAACTTGCGGATGGTGGTTTTCCAATGTATCTGCATTCCTTGTGGATTGTGGTGGTCTTTGATTTGGAAAATGCTTTCTGAGGAACTTTGGTGAATTTTAGTAATACATCCTTTAGATCGTACGCGCTGCTGCTACTGAGCATTGGTGGTGGAGGAAGTGGATGTTTGCGGAGGTGCTGCCAACTAAGTGGGATGCTTTGTCCTGGATAATGTCAAGCTTCTTGAGCGTTATTGGAACTGTTCTCATGCAGGCAATTGGGAAGTGTGCCAACACACTCCTGACTTGTACTTTGTAGATAGTGGACAGGCTTCGGGACTCAAGATGTGAGCTCCTTGTACAGGATTCCTAGCTTCTGACTTGCCTTTGTAGCCCTAGTATTTATCTGGTGATTCCAATTCAGTTTCTGGTCGAGAGTAAACCGCAGGATGTTGATAGTGGGAGATTCAGTGATGATA